CGTCGGTGCCTAGCGCTGTGCACCTCAATGGCGAAAATGACACCAAATAGTCATGGCCGTGGCCAGGACGACGATTAGAGCCGGCCCCTTGCACGCCAGCAGTATAATATGAGACTTCAGCTGCTACCGAATCCTAAGTGGCACGGCAAACTCGGCCGTCGGTGGCGCCATGCATCGTGCCGTCTGGTTCGTCAAAAGAACCGTCCAGCGTTGTTGCTTGCGGAGGTGCTCTTGGGTCGCCATCATTGACCAAGTGGTGATATGGCGCCGCCAATTCGGTCGCCTGGCACCAAACCATGGCGAACGGCATACACGCACTTGCCAATGTTCACAAACAAAATGCATTTGGCCGCCTCGGACCAAACCAGAAGCGATAGCAAACGTCCAATGACCAGCGAGCACACGAGCACGTAACAAGAACCGGTTCGCAGCGAGGTGGACGTGACGAGTTTCTCATGGATTTCGCTCTCGTTCACTCCAACGGTCGAGAATTTCGATATAGCGGCAATATAGGCGCCTGTAGACCAAACAAAACCAAAAAAAAAAACAAAACAAAACCAAAAAAAAAACAAAAAGCAACAAAAAAAAAAAAAAAAAAACGCACGCGTCAAGACGGCTTGCCTGACGCATAGACCGCAAAGGTCTGACCGCTTGTCTAACCACGTGGCCAAGAATCACCGTGCATTTCACGTGCGGCGCTCAAAAACAATATGGCTTGGTGCAACAAGCGATGGCATCAATGGCAGAAATAGCATTCAAACGCAATCAAATGCCAATGCGCCATTCGAACGCAACCGATGCAAACCGAGCGCAAATCGAAGGCGACGTGGATAGCAGCCGTAGCGCATGCGAACATGGCATCCGTTCAGCGGCGCGATAATTGTTCGAGGCCAGCTAGAACAACTCGCCTCATTGAGAGCAGCGCTGATAATTGGAGCACGACTGGCTGCGAGAGCACGCGCTCAAGTCATTGTCTTGAGAGGCGTTTGTTGCGCTATCTCTAGAGAGAGCGAGGCCTCATGAGTCCCTGCGTGCGCCCACAATGTCCACAAACATGTGACGGGGACAGACCAGCGCCAGTTCTCGCACCACCGGGTTCCGAACGGTGCATGAAGAGGCACACAGTTGCCCAACGCCCCGCAAGTGTTTTCCTTAGTGGGGCCGTGCACATGGGCGCCTGCTCTGTTTTCTCAGTTCTTGCTGGTTGTTGGTGTTTATTTGCCGTGCTCATATTGCGCTGCAGCCAGGACGGGCCAACGCCAAATTCGTCATCGTCTTGCCGGACATCAATGCGACCGCGCTTTTGCAGGCGACGCGCGAGTTACCACGCACGTTGGCACTCGTACCACCACACCGTGTGCGCTTGACTGAGGCGTCGACTGTTCGAATCACGCCTGCCGCCGCGGCAGCGCAACAGTACTAGTGAGATTTGCAGCATGCGAGATACGACGCGAACGCCGTGTACGGCAATCGCTGGTGACCAATGGGCGCCACAGTGCTTGATATTGTGGCGCGATTTTTTGTTTTTGTTTGTCGTTGTTTGCTGCCTGTTTTCGTTGTTGTTGTTGTTGTTTGCCTTCGCACGGGCGGCACGTGATAGATGTGCCTGCTGACAGTTGTCGCCATAATGACTGTAGTATGTTGAGCGCAACGTATATTCGACGCAATCATAGCGCGACAGAAATTCGGTGGCCAGCACCGCATTTCGTTGGCTGGACGATGCGCGAAGGTGACAGAGGACGCGGTGGACGCGGGCCCTTAATAGGCATGGGCGCCGTAGCCGTAGGTGCCGGCAGCGTGTCCGTAGCCGCCGGAGGTATGTCCGTAATGGCTGGAGGCCGAGCGACGCTTTCGGTAGCCGCTGCTGCCGTGTCCGTAGCCGGCGTATGCGTGGCCGGCGGGAGCCGCCACATGACCGCCGAAGCCGTGGCCATAACCGTAGCTGCCGCGTCCAGCGTAGGCGAGAGAGCGGCCGTAGCGGTGCCCGGTGCCGTGGCCGCGAGACGCGCCGTGTCCGTAGCCGAAGCCGCCGCTTGCACTGCGCGCGCCGTGGGCGACACCGTGTCCGCCGTACGCGCGGTTTCCGTGGCTCGCAGAGACGACAGCCACCAAGGCAGCAAGAAGCAGCAGCTGAAAACAACATTGTTAGCGTGAGTGCTGAAGCAGATGGCGCTTGGCAATGCGCCCGTCATGACAACAGCACGGCTTGCCGCCCGCTGCATCTATGACAACGTTCATATTGAAATATCTCTTAGCTAGGCGATCAGTGCCACAAACGAAAGCCGGTATCGTGCGGGGCACACTCACCGCAAGCTTGGCGTTCATCTTTGCGGTTTGTTGGACCTCCGACTGCTGGGAGAGCGCGCCAGTGAGTGTGTGTCTGCTTCGCCGGCGCTGCGGTCTTTATACCCGGCAA